AACATCATGAGAAGTTGTATTTATACAAATGGTATTTTTTTCTTCAAAATAAATATGAAAAAGCGCAAAAGACACAATCAAAGCGTTATGGTTTTCGTGTCAAGTAAAAAAACGTTCCAGTTTACCTGTCAAGTTTAATAAGTTTCAATTTTCGTTTCCAGTAAAAAAAAACGTTTCAATTTTCGTATTAAGTAAAAAACATTAGAATTTTGGCGTTGCGTCGAAGTGCTATCAGCTGCTCCCTCGTGCGAGATCAAGGCCTTCCTTTGAGATTCCTGTAGGAGAGCCAAGCATCTACCCCGTGTATGACGCCGAGCACAAGACCCAAAACCTGTGAAAGTATAAATGAATAAAAGTGGAGGGAATTGCAGCCAGGATAACGAAGGGAAAAACACGATAAAAGACCTAATATGCCAAAGACCGTGTCGCTCTATTGTGTATTTAAATGACCTTTGACGTCTAGCACATGTATTTGTTTCAAACCTTAAACATATGATGCTTGTTCATACCATGAAGGAGCAATGTAGCGAAAAGGCCTTCGTCATATGCGCGTGTTTTCTTGTCCTTCCCTTCGTTGTTCTTGATACATAAACAAATACCAACTACATAATAATTACAAGAGAATACAAGGATGAACAAGCAACTTACATAGCATGCGGTCATAGCTGGATAGACCGTGTAGTAAGGAGTGATTCTATATTGAGGCCAAAGCCAGGTCTGGACCGCCCAAGACAGGTGGGAGGAGGACAGCAGGTACAAGATGCAGGCCAAGATGTTGAAGACGGTCTCCTGCAGAAGAAAAAAGATTGATTGTGGATGAGTGCGTATGTTGGCAAGATTGGTAGGTGGTTAGTATATATATAATATAGATAGACAGACAGATTGATTGATTGATTGATTGATTGATTGATTGATTGATTGATTGATTGACAGAGAGGTGGATAGATGGATAGATGATAGAGATTGACTAATTGGGAGATAGATAGATAGATTGTTTTTGAGTTAAGTGTAGAGTGCCAGACTTCCTCTCAAATAAAAGAATGTAAAAATGTCGCATCACACATAAGAATAATAATGAAACCACCAATCTATTCTTACAATAATTAAATCCCAACCATAACTATTCTAACACATTTATCATTTTTTCAACCATTAACCATTTCTCTAGTGCCATATAAATCTATGATATCTAGCACATTCATTTTTTTTAACCATTTAACCATTATCTAAGCTATATGACTCCGATATCTAACACATGTCTTTCCCTGTGTCATTACATACCACTGCTTTACCACGACTTACCAGCACGGAAGACCTGATGAGGTTGAGGAACGCCGAGTATGATGTAGCAGAAGGTAAGGAGACTGACCATGAAGATGCAGGCAGAATTCGTGACGAGGAAGAAGTGAAAAGATTCGCCAATAGATGTCGCATAAGGCATGCCGTAGTCAAGGACCAAGAACAGGCAGATCGCTGACAGCACCTGTTGGGTGACGCGATGGTTACTAGTGTATATGTATTTTTTTTCTTTTTTTCTCTCTTTTTATCTTTTAATTTTTTTTTTTTTTTTTTGGGGGGGGGGTTATGATTTGATTTGATAATATTTATTTACAGAACAGTGTACATGCCCTGTAAAAAGCCAGGGTAAGATGCTACCGCATCTATCCAACTGGCTATGCTTATATTTATGTAAAGGGCTATTAGTCAAACATTAGTTCTACATGCCTGAAAGGCTGTGTCATTATGCATACATTATTCACATATCATCTAGTTGGTAAAAAAAAACTTTTATATCCCTAATCATATCGAAGACAAGACCAGTGTCTATGATAAAATTAATATAATCAATAAGTGCTGGTCTCTGGACAGTGCTATTTGATCGATAGGATGCAGTTTATGATAGACAGTGATAGATAGATAACGATAGAGAGACAGACAGACAGAGAGGGAGGGGCACAGATAAATAGATAATGAGAGAGAGGACAGATATATAGATAAATAATGAGAGAGAGGGCATAGATAGATAGATAAATAATGAGAGAGAGAAAGAAGGCATAGATAGACAGATAGATAATTGAGTGAGAGATAGGACAGATATAGATAATGAGAGAGAGGAGGGACATGGATAGATTAATAATGAGAGAGAGAAAGAGAAAGAAAACAGAGGTAGATATATAGTGAGAGAGAGAGAGAGAGAGTGGACAGAGATAGATTGAGAGAGTGAAGGAGGGGGAGGCGGACAGACAGACAAAGGCAGAGACAGAGATGGGAAAGAGAGCAGAAAGAAGCAGGAAAGGGAGAGAGAGAAGAGAGAGAGAGAGAGAGAGAGAGAGAGATTATTGTTTGTATGCAAATGTCTTTTAATCCTTACAGTTTCTGCATTTAATGGAAGACCCTAAGTACGATGTATACCCATTGTTTTTTTTTTTTTTTTTTTTTTTTTTTTTTTTTTGCACATGTGTTACAGAAACAGGAAATCTATTGCAGTTGCGACTTTAATAGTGACGGTGACAATACTTTATTAATGAAAATGTTGCAATATTAGTGCAGGTAATCATAACAGTAGCTACAGCATTACTAATAGTGATAGTAGTAACTGCAATTTTAGTACTACTGGGAAACGCTGTTACATAGTAGTAGCAGCTGCAGCATTATAAGTAGTAACAGGAGCAGTTATAAGTGCAGTAGAAACAATTTTAGAAGTAACAAGGATAAAAGTAATATCTTTCACAAAAAAAATAATAATAATAATAAAATCATCAAGTAACTACGACAGAATTATGAACAACAACAAGAGCCTCGACACAGGCCGAAACAGCGTTCAACCTGAACAAATCGAAAAAAAAAAAAAAAAAAACGGAAACACCTACCAACTCCATAACCTTGAGCCATCCTGCCTTGGTCCTGATGAAGCCCAGGTTGATGCAAGGGCAGCAAGTGCAGCACATGCAGTCGATGCCGCTGCTGCCTGTCGAGCGGTAGGCGGACGGCTGGATCACGGTGGGCCTTCCCGAGCCAGCGCTCCAGCCGACGGAGGGACCCTGCATCATGGCCCTTGGGGGGAGAGGCGGCGGGAGGAGGAGGCCCTCTGGAAGGACGGGAGGAACCTGAGACTTGGAGGGAGGGGGAGGGGAAGGGGGAGGCCCCCCCCATATATATATTATATATATATATATATATATATATATATATATATATATATATATATATATATATATATATATAATATAATATAATATAATATATAATTATATATATATATAATATATATATATAATATTATATTATATATATATATATATATATATATATATATATATATAATATATATATATATATATATATATATATATATATATATATATAATATATAACACACACACTCACACACACATACACACACACATATGTATATATTATATATATATATATATAATTATATAATATATAGAGAGAGAGAGAGAGAGGAGAGAGAGGACGAAGAGAGAGAGAGAGAGAGAGAGAGAGACGAGAGAGAGCAGACAGGCAGACGGATACATGTACTGAAGGAGAAATACACAGATGACTGATCAATGTGCTGACGACGGAAAAAAAATATGAAGATCATTCTGAATATTTTCATGATGGAGAAAATAGGAAGCTAATTCGTTCATATTTTGATGACAGAGAAATATTAAGATGATTCGCTAATGAAATATGATCTAGATATTGTCGATATTAAATATTCATGATTTAGAGATTCTGTAAAGAAAATTGAAACGTTTGAATATCTATTAATCTCTGTCTACACATCTATACTGGACACACAGCACACACACATACGCACGCACGCAGGCACGCAACACACACACACACACACACACACACACCACACACACACACACACACACACACACACACACACAACATACACACACACACATACACACATACGCACGCACGCAGGCACGCACACACATATATAAATTATATATATTAATATATATATATATATATATATATATATATAAACTTATATCTATCTATCTATCTATCTATCTATCTATCTATTATCTATATCTATCTATATCTATCTATATCTATCTATCTATATCTTCTATATATATATCTATATCTATCTATCTATATCTATCTATATCTATTCTATCTATATCTATCTATATCTATTATCTATCTATCTATCTATCTTATCTCTCTCTCTCTCTCTTCTCTCTCTCTCTCTCTCTCTCTCTCTCTCTCTCTCTCTCTCTCTCTCTCTCTCTCTCTCTCCTCTCTCTCTCTCTCTCTATATATATATATATATATATATATATATATATATATATATATATATATATACTAGAAAACACATTTAACCAGTTATTGAAGCCTGTCACCCACGGAGACACGCACAAAATGTAGTTTCCGTTCCTGTGAAAGCATGACTCTGGTTGCATATATATCTCAATGGCGTTTACTTTCAATTCACCAAGATTTCCATGCACACACAACGGCACCAAAGAGAAGTCATAACAAATACAAACAAAGCACAAAGGAAGCTCCATGTGGGAAAGACATCGGTTTCGAAATGTCATATCTAAACATAGTTTCTTTGCATTTCAAGAACCAACGTGAGTTTGTCAAAGGAATGCTTGAAAGAACAAGTTTTTTGAAAGCAGGTTTTGGTGTCTTTCTTTCTTTGTCTTTCACGAATTATCTCTCTCTTTCCTCCTATTTTCTCGCTCATTTTCGAATGGAAAAGGTTTGGAAAACAAAGAATAAAGATCGAAAGAATAAAAATAAAGTTTACGTAGGTATCCCATCTTTTCCAAAGTTGTGAAAATCTCTCAATGGATTCGCAATAACTCTCACCACTTATTCCCTAATCCAACGACACACACACTTACAAAAAAAGATATTTCACCAACTCAAACCTGTCTTGGTGATCAGCGGCTTTTCCTCGAGGGGTCGTCGCCTTGGCACTGTGGCACCGCGGGCACTGGAGGCGCGGTGTGGGAGAC